GGATAGCCTTTGTGAAGGCTGACCCTTAGGATCTCAGGACCGAAAGGTCTCTGCTTTCTATTGTCTGAATAATTATTTAAAACGTGTGTAGATGTGCTTTAGACAAATGGAATAATAAATGGCATAATAAAACCAATTTAGTTTTGGTAAAAATTATAGCAGCTCCCTTTGTTTATTGTTATATTTTAGAAATCATTTTTATGTTTAGTGCAGTCTGAAATATTGCTGCTTAATATAAACGATTCGAAAACTAAACAGGAGCCCAATATAAGAACACAAGTAGTGGCCATTTATCTTTTAAGTAATTCAGTTTTGCATGTATATTTGAAAACAATTTGTCAGCCAGATTATCCTTATTTTAAACTCTCTGTTTTGTATCGTATGACAAAATCTTGGCTTAAACACAGAATCCCGTATTCGATATATTCAATTTGAAGTGCTGCACAATGCATACCGAAAAAACATGACAAAGAACAAGTGTCATGCTAAAATTGCACAGATTTTCATTTAACATAATTCCCGAAACACAAAAAAAGTTCGCCAAACCAGAGTGGCGAAAAACCAAACAAAACACACACAAAAGTGGGAGTCTGTCGCCATTGTCGCGGCTCCAATTCAATACAATAATAATAAAATTTGTATGCAAAATAGGCGTTGAGTGTTGAATGCATGCAAAAAGATTGCAGGACGAAACCACTGGGCGTAATGTGGTGCATGGTGGTGCTGGGTGGTGCTGGGTGGTGCTGGGTGGAGTATCGCGTAGCAGCTCGATTTGCATATACAAATATGCAGGAGAGCGGCGATGTTGTTGGCTCGTGTTGAAAAATCGTAATCAAAAATTGCGCAATAATTTGCATGTTTATTTAATAGCCGGGCGCATAGAGCGCCCAAATGACCTACCGCCCGGCCATTTTCCCCTTTGGAAAATACAGGAAAAATGCAGGACAAAGTGTCCTTTGCTCGTACACATACACATGCACACACATGCTCGTACACAAGCAGCAGGCATTGCAGTGACAAACATTTCGGTAAATGCCACAAACTGCGAAACTGTGCATGTGCTTTTTCCTTTTTAATGCCTTCGGTCACCCTCATTTCTAGGCCTTTACCCCCTTTTGGCCGCCATTGAGTATCTCATAATGTGAGTAATTTTTTTAGCTTCCACGCTAATGAAATTGTCTGCGGGCTGAGCTTTGTTCGCACTCTTTTGAGTTTGTTTTTGTCATTTGGGGCAAAAACGTTGGCCGCAAAATTTTATGACACTCTAAAATCAAAACAAAACACAAGCCAAAACAGAAACCCACAAAAGAGGAACCCATCCCAAATTAGCGGACAATTTTAGAGATAGAGGTTTTTGTTTGGGATGTTTTGAATCGCATGCTGAATCAGGAGCGTGAAGTTGCCAATGGACTGAAATTAAGTGAAATCGTATCATAAAATGTTAAATTACTCAACCCGCTGTTCTGATATAAGTTGAATTTTTTGAAATGTTAGCTTGCAATAAAACTTAAAGATAGTCCTGCCAAGTTTAACCAGCAAAAAAAGCACGAGGCAGAAGCAGATTTATACCTTCAAAAAAAGTGGACTTCACACATAAACACATTCACATTGGCAATATTTTGACTGTTTCGTAATTTATTTGACATATTTATGGGGTTCATAAATACAGATACATACATATATAATGCATTTATTTCTATTTGGCGATTTTTTAGTTTTTATAGCAAGCAATGAAGTTGCAAGCAGGCAGAGCCATCAAAAATGTATTTATTCGTTCAAGTTTGGACTACTTCCAAAGCCAGCGACTGTGTAACGCAACAAAAACAAATAATTTCACTATTTTCGCTGCAGTTGTTGCTCTACTCATACACCATACTCCATACACCATCCTGGTCAAAGTTGCAATAGCAAAACATAAAACATTTTTTATGTAATGGTTTTTATTATTGGCCACCCGTCCCTTCAGATCTTCTTCTGGCTTATTTTCCGTTTTGGCTGCTTCTTTCTGTGGGCAGCTGCCTGAACTATTGACAGCTGATGATAAAAAATTGTTTGAAAAATAAACCAAAAGCCTGGAAAAACACAGAGTGGGCGAAAGTGTGGTGTGGGTATGAATAGGTACTGGAAATGGATTTCGAGCTGGCTGAAAAATGCCAGTTAAATATGGCTTAAAAAAAACAAAGCGCATTGCTTTTGCGACTTGACTTGGTCAAGTGGTTGGTACCTAGTGATATAGTGACTAGGTTTTCCAATTTATTTGAACATTTTGCAGTTTTGTTTAAATTTAAATACAAATAGGAAATGGTAATGTCCTAAGGCCTTCACAACCTTAAAGAAAATCTGCCCGAATAATGCGAAAATCGTTTTATTTCGACACTCTTTCCATTAGACCAAACCCAATATTTAATTGGCATTGGCATTGTATTAAGGTGAAAATTCAGCACCTCGTCGCCATAGTCCTTTAGTCAATCCATTCCATTTGAGTACGTCCCAACGCATCCACTCGCGAATTAAACATTTTCGCCTTTACACTTTTAATTTATGTATTTACTTTCCTGGTTTATTTGCCTTTCTTTATGCCAGCCGGCAACTTGGGACCCTCTGTGCCAGCCACCTGCGGCATTTTCACTTTCCGAGCCTCTTATTGAAATTCCAAAGTTGAAATGACTGCAAAGTGAGAGGACGGCTGGGGCGACGAGCAGGACGAGGACTCCGGCTGATGGTCGAGGTCCTGGCAGTGGCTACAGTGTTGACAGCCATGTCAGTTACCATACCCATCGCCGTCATCGGTTGCCGTTTTCCCGTTGAGCTCCTCCTTTTCCCTGGTCGAGTTTTGTGGTCGCGCTTCGGGATGGAGTCTGCTTGGAGTCGGCTATATACCATAGATATATGTATATGAAGAATAGCACATTTTTGGGGCTTCATCTAAGTGTGAGAAGCACTTACAAGGCAACTTGGAGGAGACCCTTTCCCCATTGTTTGTTTTGTCTGTGTTGTCTGGCACTTTGTTTTCTGCTTAACTTTTGATCAGCTTTTAATATAACTTAATGTGGCCAAATTAAATGCTCTCCGTCTGTAAAGTTTTATTGCAAATTATACATTGAAGTTGCGGTCAACGCCGCACCCGTTTGCAAAATCAATAAAAACGCAGGGTAAGCCAGAGCATAAATTTATAAACATGTTTGCTATAAGCTGCTATAAGCTACATAACCAAAACCACTTATTTGGAGATCCTGCGGGTCCTATCAATTTATTTTCGCAAATTAATGCAATATTTGTTAAGTTTTGAATCCACCAGGTGCATGTGTATTGCAAATATAAAAAAGCCGAATGGAAAACATCAAAATACAAACTGCTTAAAACAAGGGGAAATAAACAACGGAAAGAAGCAATCTGAGATGGAGAAACAACAACTTGGTGGCTGCCAGATAGTGGAAAAGTGGTCATTACAGATGGTTTATAAAAGTCATAACAACAATACAATGCAGCCACATAAAAGTATACAAAATAAGACGAAGCTGGCGTCGGAGTATAAAATAGCACACAATAGAACACAACAATATGTATAATAAAGCTTGTCAAGCAGCAGATTCCCCCTTTCTATCCCAGGATATCCAACTTTTGTGAAGTCCTGAGCAGGTTGCCGTCCGTCCAGTTAAATGGTGAACCATTAAAAGTGCACATTTGTAAACATAAACTGACAGATAAACACCGAGAGCAGACACAAAACTTTCTCCGGCCCAAGGGTGCATGGAAGGAAAGTGAATGATACGAAGAGTTGTCCATGCAATTTTCATTGGTTTATATTGCACAGCCACACACAGCCACACATTTATCAGGGGAAAGGTACGAGCCCGACCCACACACATCCCTGACCAGGAAAGCCAGTTAGAATACTTAAAAAACGTAGATTGTGAAAGTTTTTATAACATAAAATGGCTGCAAAACTGCAAAAGTTGTTGTACTTGTTGTGGTTCTAGGGGCCGGCCCTCGAGAATTGGGTATCTGGTGGTCACTGCTTAGCAACAATGTGCAGCTGAAAGACAATTTTGAGCGCCCTGCTATAAATGCAGGTACATCAAGTGCGGGTCTCAGTACCGAGGTCAGAGGTGGGAGGTCAGAGGGCAGAGGGCAGAGGGCACAGCAAAATGCTCGCTCGTTATATGGGTCAATATGGGAAACAAAAGCATTGTTCACCGGTGGAAACAGAAAAACAAAACGAAGGCACGGAACAAAAAACAACATGCACTGCGAAAAAGTTTTTAACTAGAGTTGGAGATTTGTAGGAAAACATGTAGTGCAAGTTTGAAAGTGTGCAAAAGGAAAAACTCCGACTTTAGCAATTGAAGGGAGCCAAAATAAAATAGGTATTCAATGGATGTAAGGAAAAGTAAAAAAACAGCATATGTAGTTCTGATCATTCTAATAATTATAAATCATCTTAGGGCATGCAAGCTTTTATTTAATTTATTAAGAAATGTAACTTGGAACAAATAAAAATGCTTCGAAAACAGTAAGGAAAATATCTCAGTTGATCTGGAGTATTTATAGAAAATTCCTTTCTGTATTCTTTCCTACCACACCCGATAGCCAGAGAAGCCAAATGATAGGGGAAAAAAAAACGAGAAAGGGAGCAAATCGAGAAACCAGTGGTCGGATGGGACTCTACTTTGTTTTCAACATTTTGTGTTGTCATTTGAAACATCGAACGGAAGGCAGCGGTCGGATCAGCTGGTCACTCGCTTATCAAAGAAGGGGTTACATAGTAGTTAGTATCGAATTGGAGTCCCAAGACGAGGGGGAGTGTTCAGTTCTTCACTCAGCTTTTGGTTTGGAGCTAATACCGGGCCAGGACGAGAAAAAAAACAGTTATAAACAAAAGTGCACCTCTTGAGGTGCGCATTAAACTTTAAATCATATATTTTTAGAACACTTCGTATGTATACTAAGCGCCAGCCAGATTCTTGCATATTTCACCAACAAACTCATTTTATTTGCAGATTTTATTGAAGCACTCAAGGATGTGTCGGTAATGATACCACAGGCGGTGAAACGTGGCAGCAATGCGCTATTCACTTGTAATTACGATATGGAAAACGATACTCTATATTCGGTTAAATGGTATAAGGGCAAGCGTGAGTTTTATCGCTATACGCCCAAGGAGAATCCGGCGATGAAGGTCTTTGCCATGACAAGTGGTCTCAATGTCGAGGTAAGTACAGCAGCAGTGCCCAGACACTGCCTCCCGTTGATAATGTAGATGAGGATGTGGATATGGATAATTTCCCTTAACTCCGTGTCCCCATAACGCGCACATGTTACTGCAGTTGCGTGTAAATTATATCCATAATGGCTGATTGCCAGGACCCCGGCTGGATTCGCTCTCATAACGAAATTTGCCAGCTTAAATGTCCCACTGCCCGTTGTAATTATGCCAGTCCATCCGGAGACGGATCCGTTAAGAGTTGTTGGGCGTGGCCAATTAGTCGCGCTTGCGATTGACTTGCGGCTCATTAAAAAACAATATATAGAGATTACATAACCGGTGAAAAAATGAAAAAATTAAAGCAGCGAACACGAAAATACACTAGGAAAATATTTAAAGTACTTGTATCTACTGAAAGTGATGTAGCTTGATGTAACTTTATAGCATACTTGAAATGTATTTTAGTTACTTCCTTTCATTCTTGCCATCTTAATAAGTGGCCACAGCAGACTCGTTGGCAGGGTATTACCCTTGTTGTCATAACCCTTAATTATTACGGTGAAATGCACAAGAGCCAATTAGGTATCAGCAGCAACAAATTGGGTTAAACATTCGCACGAGCCTCAGCCATTGATCCTTTGGAAGTAGCAACGACCTTTGCCCCCACTGGCCGCACTTAATTTGGCCTTCTCCATTGCATTTATGTGACATTTATTCTGGAAATAACGCACGATGTTAAAAGCAATTTATTAAATTTGATTTTTATTAAGTGAATTGTGTTATGTGAGGCTTCCTCGTTTTCTCTTCAAGGGATTAAATTTCTTCAGCATTACAAAAAATACATTTTCATTTACGATTGCAGCGCTTTAAATGGCCAATTCAACGCAAGAGGCGTTTTAATTTACGGATTTTATAACAAATTTAATTTTGTGTATGCCGATAGCCAAAACTATATTTTATATAAATGTCATTTCGGGGTTTCAATAAGAAAACTTAATATATATTCCTTATTGCGAATATAAAGTGGACAACAAGTGCGTTAAGTTTCCTGGAACAGAGTCCCTCAGATAGCTGAAGTTTTTCCCTTACTTTCGTCTCATTAAATGCATGGGAACCAGAGAAAGATAACACTTGTGAATCAAAAGAAATCTGCCACTCATGGCCCCACGGCAAGTTGCTTTGACTCAAAGAGAAACTTAATCAAATCGAGATGACCTCTTCAGCTTTAAAATCAACCCTTTGCCATTCACCCCCATGCCCTCAATTTGCAGTCAGTTTCCAGCAAGCTGCTGCGCTTTTCATCATTCAGGACCAAGACAAAATTTTCATATTTTCCCCATAGTATTTTTCACTTTCCGCTCGCTCTGTCGCGGGTTATATTCAATTTCTATGCACCGCGTCCAGCCAATTTCGGAGCAACTAATTTTTATTACGTTCTTCATTTCCCCGCCGCTGATTTTCTCCACTCGCTTTCTCCTTTCTCCTTTCTCCTTTCTCCTCTCTCATTTCTCCAGCGCAACCTTTCGAATCAGAGCCACGTCGTCCTGCAGTCGGTGCCGCTGAATATTTCGGGCAAATTTACATGCGAAATATCGGTGGAGGCGCCCACTTTTCAAACGGCCATGGTGTCCGGCGAAATGGAGGTGGTTGGTAAGTGAAAAAATCCAAAATGTGCATACCTTTAGTACATACATATCCAGATATAGCGATAGGAATTGCCATGGGCTAATGCTAATGGAAAGGCAACCCGGCGGTCGAGGCAAGCAAATTAATTAGAACAAATCTATTTGAGCCTGCCACCGGACGGGTCCTTTTTCGCCTAATTCTGCATTTCCATTCCTTGGCCAACTACTAACGACTAACGAGAGTGTTTCCCGCCTTTTTGGCCAACTTTTTGCAGAGCTGCCGGAAGAGCACACTGTGGTTACCGGGATACAGGCACGTTATCGCATCGGCGATTTGGTCGACGGCAATTGCTCAATTAAATACTCGAAACCGGCTGCTAATTTGACATGGACTATTAATGGTATTGTGGTAAGTTTTGGTTTCGTTTACCGCTGTTATCCCCATCCGGACACGCCCCCTATCCGCCCACTCCGCCCATACTGCATTTCAATTAGCCGTCAATCGGAAACGGTGAACGGAGGTCTTTGATCACTTTCTATTGATGGGCCGCCAATTTTTCAATTAGTCATCAGTTCAGGGAAAGGGGTGAAACTTCGGGTGAAATTCGGGTTCGAATGCACTTTGAGTGGGAAAGTGCGGATGGCTAATGCATGTTTATTGGATGTTGGGAGTTTTCCCCAAGCAAATAGCCCTTCCTTTATTTATATTAACATCCTTTTTAAAGTGGAGGTGAAAATGAAAACCCCAAAAAGTTTGTTTTAATTTCTTTCACAATTAAATATCCGTAACCTTTTCACCCAGCAGCATCATTTAAAAAAAGAGATATCTTATTTCCATTAAATATTATTAAATTACATACATCTAATTTCTCATCCTGTATGAGCTAATACCTAACATTGCTTCTATATGAACTGTTTCAAATTGAAGTACGTTAAAGAGTACACTTTGTAATTGCCTACGCGGTTTTAAAACAAAAAATCAGGTGAGCCGCGGCCATTGGGTTTGCAATTTTTTGCGTTTAGTGTGCAATTTTTCATTCTCCGTCTGTTGCATACTTTTTGGCACCTGCGTGTGCGTCGCTTTCATTTTGCAGGACCATCTTTTGGCATTTATATTTGCCTGGAATCACGCCCCTCTCCCGCTTTCGTTTTGGTTCTTCGGTTTTATACATACATTTTTTGATATGCCGTCAGTTTTTATGCCATTTCGCTTGTGCCAGGCTGAGCTGTTCTGAGCGGGATTGGGCCGGTCTGGATGTTTTATGGCCGCAACCACAGCAGCCGACTGTCGACTCCAACAGAAGGTCACCCTGCCACATTGCCACACTGCCACACTGCCTCCTGCCAGTTTGCGCCCAGCTGCTGTCACGGCCCTACTCTCCGCATGATTGCGCAGGTGTGATGTGGAGCAGCAAGGATCCCTGACATGTCCTGGCATTTTGCGTTCGGTTTTTCAAGAAACGTTTAGGTTGTCAGCTAGTTTTTCTCTGCCGTTTTTATGGCGGCCCGAACATTACGGCCTGCCTCCCAGACTTTTGGCTGGTGTTATTGTTATTGTTTCCCCAATCCAGACGGACGACCACCTGGTGGCAGCTGGAGTATAGTAAATGCGTTGTCAATGTCACGGAGGCCCCGTCTAGTCATATTTCAAACTTGCGGTCTTTGTGTGTGCTTCTCTGGGTGAGGAGTCGTGTTGGAAGTTTGTTGGACTTAGTCAGTGCTTAACTCTAAAGTAAATTAAGCCGGTTTTATGAGTCTAGTGCTGGAAATTAGAGCTCAGAGAGGCCCATTTAGCCAGTGATTAAAGATTCAAGTGCTTAAGAAAATGTTTAGGTGGTCCTTGGCGTCGTTTGCCATATAAGTTTTAATAGTTAAGCCCTTCAAATGGAATGTTATGAAATATGTTTACACTAAGCGTACCAATATAGGAATATGTGTGTACAATTCAGAGCATTTCAAATGCGTACACTTGGACTTTCTCTTCAGCCTTAGAAATTCATAACAAATACAAATCAAAGTAAAGGACGTAGAAAAATGTGCTTCGTCAATATTCATGCAAACGATTGATAATAGTGTATGCGTTTCAAATGTTTGCAATATACTTGCCAATTAAAAATATTATGAAATGCAATTTGCGTGCATAAATTCTTTAAAAACAAAAACCGATCAATAAATGTATCACCGAATGGCTTTGGTTTTAAGCCGGACTACGAATAAATGAAATTGTTTTTGAAAATGCAAAGTTCGGACTTAGTCGGCATCAGGACAAGCAATTCAGCAAAAAACATATTTATAAATATACGAAAATAGAGCAGGGAAAACTAACACAAACAGCACTTGAGTGTTGCCTATAGTGGGTGGCCATGCACAGTGGGTGCCACTTGATCTTTTAGCTAACGAGCGCATTTCAACAGGAGCACCACTCACCCACTGACGACGGGCCACCCAGCACCCAGCACCCACCACCCACCACCCAGAGCCATCATGTGTGCTGTCAGCTGTGGGTGGCTCGGTGGAGCGGGTGGAGCGGGTGGTGCGGGTGGTGCGGGCCAGGGCTTCGTATCTGCCAGGCACTTCAAACTAAACTCACCGCAAACAAAGTGGCCTCGTCTTCTCGACACAGCTCACCCATGTCCTTTGGCTCCTGTTCCTGCATGCCCCATCCTGGCCATCATCATAGTCATCAGCATCAGCATCACCATCATCTGCTCTAGTTAATCACTCAAGCGTAAATCTATTCATCATTCATAAGTTATAAATTTGCCTCGGCCGCTCCGTTCGTGGACGCCTTTATTTTTCGGGTAAAAGCTGACACTTTGGCTTTGAGGGACCAGTTTTCGCTTTCATATCGCCGCGCACTTCATCGAAAAAGGATTGCTGAATATTTACAAATTGATTTCGCTGCAATCGCAAAATCGAGATGGCACTTGACATTATTCGTCGTCCTTCTTCTTGTTTCTCGGCTATTGCAGGTGCCACCGCACCACATAAAGACCTACCAGACGGAGAAGCGGGAGAACAGCACCCTGGAATCGGTGACAAGTGCCATACATTTCATGGTCACCAATCAGCATTTCCTCAAGGGCCAGATGAGGGTAAGGAAACAATCCGCACCAGCTGAGACTCTAATAATAAAGTCCATTCACCATTTCTCGTTGTTAGCTCAAGTGCACGGCCAATATCTTTGACATCTTCAAGGAGGAAATGGAGAGTGTCATCGAGGAGGACCGGCCCAGGATAATGGCCTCCGGCAGATCGTATGACATCAACAATTATCCCCTCGAGGAGCACCCGAATGGCGAACGGGGTGGCTTTGAGGATCACAACGAGTCCTATTTGACGTACTATTCGGGTGAGTAGTTGCAGTTTGGAAACGTGGTTAAGTCGGAGAGATAGGTGGAAGAAACTAGTATTAGTTTTGTATTCGGTGCCAGAATTTGATATATTTGATCCTTTATTAAGAGGGTAACTAATTCAAAATGTTGTTTTAAATTACGACAACTAATTCCTAGTCGGCAATAAATTTAGACAGGCATCCAGTTCAATAACTTACCAAATCGAAAATATCCGGCTGCACATTCGATACGTTTAAGTGATCCCATCGCAGTAGAGCAAAGCCTCGGGCAAACAAGGAAGATGGACTCAATCCCACTTAGTTCAGCCCACTGCATCCTGTCGATGTCGGGCACACAATGTAAATTATGTAAATAAAATTGTGCAGCATAAACATTCCTCCAGACTGCTAACAACCAGGAGCAAGGAGCAGGCTTATCGAATCAGATGGCGGGGAATCAAATTGCTATAAACTAAGTTTAGACATGAAAGATTGTCGCGGAATTGCGGCAGACTGTGTAGGACGGAAGCGTGATTGGAGCCTCTGGCGAGAATGGGGGTCCTGCCATATCCTTTCGTTTTCGTTTTTTCTTTCGCCTCGCGCTCCCTTTGCGGTTCCTTTGCCACTTACTAGCGACAACATTTACTTAACACCAAGTAACGACAACACCAGAAATAACAAGTGTGTAAACGCATTGAGCTGAAAATTGTATTTAAAATTGAGTTCACTGGCTTACCGCTGAAAGCAGCTGGGAAATGGAGACGGCGGAATTCCAGCGAAATATCAACGCATGCAGCCATATTTTGGGCACAGCGCCCAAGGGATGCCCTCAAAACGGAAGTTTGCAAACCACCCTCGTTATTAGGCGGCAGGAATGGGGAGATTGCATGTTCCGATTCCTCGCTTGCATTCCGCTCCGAACTGTATGCAAATGCACTGTTGGCACACCCACTCACACACGGCAACTTGTCTGGTTGCATATCTTGTCTTTTTTCTGGAAACTGCATTTTCTTTTTCACATTTCCACCCCGCGAAATGTGGCACAAACTAAACATGATTTGGGAATGCGCACGATGAAAACTTGGCTAAATTCTTACAATTGCTACTGAGTCTTATAGGTAGACAGCGGGTCCATATTATTGGCTTGCAAATTATAAATGAAGCCTGGCAGACCTTTACTTTTCAAAGATCGAACAGCACGTTTCCTTGCTTAGTTTTCACAAAGGGTTTTTACGCGAATCCCCTTTAATGGCAATATCCCAGTTTTTGCCTCCATCCAATGCTCACCTGTACATCTCTCTATTTGCAGCGGATAACACGGCATCGGGCGCCTCGACAGCTGCACATGAAATCTTCTGGCAGTTCTGGCCATCGCAGCTGACAAAGCTTCCCATCAACAGGCAGTTGGCGGGGGCGTGGCACTGGCTTTGTGGGGGCGGCGGAGCCGCTGCTCTTCTGCTCCTTTTCCTGCTGCAGCAAGGGCCGCTGGGCCATCAAATTATCAACTGTCAATACACAAAGCCGGCGACTGGCAAGGTGCAACAGCAACAACTGCAGCAGCAACAACGCAGCAGCGGCAGCAACATCGAGGTGACAGCTTCAAAGGCGGCAACATCCGCATCTAGCGTCAAATGCTTTTATAATTGTCAAATGGCTATGGCGATGCCAACTCGGAGTCGCGATGATGATGATGATGATGATGGTGCTGATGCTGATGCGTATATTGGCAGCACGAGTGCAAATGCAATTGCAGCAGCAACAGCAACTGGCGATGCTGATGCTGATGCTGATGCTGCAGATGCAGATGTTGCTGCTGCAGGAGGAGGAGCTGCGAGTTGCAGCATTAAGCGGCTGTCAGCGACACTTGTGGGGGGCGTCGATGCTGTAAGGGGCGTGGCCAGTTGGCCGGATCAACGATTATTGATGACTCGGCTGCGGGAAAGGCGGCAAAAGAAATCGCTGGCGATGGATGCGATGATGCAGTCGCGTTGGAGCGCGTGCTGATGCCGAATTGATGATGAAATCCATTTTCGAAAGTAGCTTAAGGTGCTCGCCACCGTGCAAAATGCCAGTGTATGGCTCCTTTCCTTTCCTGTCCTTTTTCACCCGAATTGTTGAAGGGCATAATTGATATACATATGTATGTATGTACATTCGTACTCATACTGATTGCATCAGCCAGCTGCATAAATCGATCTGGTCCTAGCTATTAAGTGTTGAATGCATAAGGTCAGGAAAAGGCAGATGGGTGGTATATATTTCATTATTGGACGAGCATAGTCAGCAAGTAGATATGAGAGCGATGAATTATAACAGGAAATTAATTAATGTTAGGTAAAATATAACATACGGTGAAACCATTAAATAGAGGATACCCTGTACGCCGCAATCACTCAAGTTTAGTTTCGCCTTCTCACATTTTCGTACGCAATCACATAGAAATATATGCAATGTGCTGTAAAACAGATCACCAAGTAAATATGTGCATACCTTTTATTTCACTCAACTTTTAAGAATAAATTGTTATTTGACATATAAAAATTATTTTGTAAAAATAGTCACACCTCCTATCTTCACCAATCATCACTTCACAGACAATAATATCTACTCAATAAAAATATGAGTGCTACCGCAAGGTTTTTTCGCTTTTATTCCCGATATTTTCGAACAGACGAATAGCCCTCAATGAAGGGAACATCAAGAAATGCGGAAAGTAAAACCAGAAGAGCGCAGTTGCTTGGGGACTTACGTACAGGGTGAGAAAATGCGTGTGCTTAGTCACGGAAAATCAAAAAGGTACTTTATATAGTTCTCAAGTACTTCAGCCCCTTAAGTTATATATCAAGCGTTAAATATATTCACAGAAAAGCAAAGTTATAGGAAATGTGCACAGTGTACAGCAAGCTGAACTTTAGACTGCACTTGAGCTTAGCTTTCGGGTACCGTAGTGCATTTTGAAGTGGGTTTTTGACAGCTTACAAATTGTAAACAACCGAAGGTAATATAAGGCAATACCCGTTACTCATAGAGTGAAAGAGTATACTAGGTTCGTTGAAAAGCTTGTAAACCGTATCGCCGACCCATAAAGTAAACATATTCCCCTGAGTAACGGGTATCTTATAGTCTTGGAAATCGACTATAGCGTTCTCTCTTGTTTGTACTCTCCTTTCAAAATAAAGAAGACATAATGTCAATGTGTAAATAAAAGCTTAAAACCAAACAAAAAAATTATATTTAGTACCATCCACTGTACAGAAAGGAACTTTTTACGGTTGTGGAAATGAAAAGCAAAATTAATTATATAGCAAGCGTTTATTTGTAGAAAACAACGAATACATAGAACAAATTAAAACGAAAAGGAACCTTTAATTTCAAGTCTTGTGTCGGCAATATTAAATCTCGAAGAAAGCAAACGATTATTTGAACATTTTTGGCCAACAAAAATCCAGCGGTAAATAGTTCCTTTACCTTAAACACAATTCAATGTAATGCAATGGGTATTCGTAGCCAAAAAGAAATGAAAATGTATTATAAACAAATGAAAACTAATCGAAATAGCGTTTGGATATAAATATAATATATGTTGAATAATTTATAAAATCAGTATATATATATTTGTAATGTAAATAAAATAATAAGGCGTAATAATAAAATCTACAAGTATAAATTAATTGGTGTACATGCTAAAAACAAGTAATACAAATTGATAAACACATAATAAACTGCATGCCCCCAGATTTTTGTAATCAAATCGTGTTGTGAAAGTTGTCTTCCCTAATTTATGCTCATTCCATCAAAACATTGACAGGGGATTTTAATTTTAATTTGAGTATGGTTTCAATTATAGCCATTAAATAATTATAAACTATAACCATAGGTATAAGAATGTGAAAAGCTAGTTTTATGTACATAGAAATGGGACAAACATTTTGATGTTACTGAATAAATATTACAAGTATTAACCAAGAAATATGAAAGTAGAATTAAGAACAGTGAATGTTTCCAGCTGCTAGGGACAACGATAAGTCTTGGATTTATAAAGAGAATCAAAAACGAGAGCAAATGCATAGCACATAATATATTCATATCCCCAATAAATAACCCGAAATGTGTAAAGCCAGAATAAATGTAATAATAAGATTGAAGAAACCAAAATAGTGATGTAAAAAAGAAGCAAGGAATAAAGTAACCCCTATTAAATAACAACTGACGACGTGTTTTACTCTTCATGGCATCATTTACTTAAGCGTGTAATTAGTATGGTTAGAACCCATGAGGAAAATGGGAATTAAAAATATGATATTTTATTATCTATAGGGCCAAGGGTGAGCGTACTTTTCAAACCCACTGTGTTTTATATTTTGATAAAGCGCCAGTTGGGGAGTTTCGGAAGCTAGCAAAGCTCCATTTCCCGCTATAAAGCTGTTGCTGAAAATCCGTTATCCAGATGGCAGGCAGCTTTTTGAGGCTGTTTGTGCACTGGCTCCACTCCCCACAGAACACAGAGCTTTCGGATTTTTGGATCTGAAGGTCAGTTGGGACTTGGACCCACATGCTGAGCTTAGTTTGATAGTCAGCGCGCTTTAATGACGACAACTGCACGGCGCGCACACCCCATTAATAATCTGTTAATTCTAGAGAGCAAAAAAATTTGAAAAAAAATTAAAATAAATTATCCAACGTGCAGTGCACGATTTCCTGACAACAATTCAGTTTCGCTTTTCATGAGACTCCATTGCATTTTCCTTTGTATTTTTCACACACGTGGTGTTTTTCTGTTACTCGCACTTCGGTAGTGGTTATTTTTTTGGTTACATTGAAAAAGTACACCGACTGCCAGCCGAATTCCCATTCGAACCTTAATTTGACCAATTGACGGAAAATTAATTGCGCCCAAAATTAATTAGCAAGCGGATATACAATTTTTTTTACGTGAAAAGAGCGTGTTATTTGTCGAAAAGATTTTACAATTGATTGTGTTTAACTAAATTAACCTGAGATATCTATGTGTTTGTGCCACGATCCGAAATTCTGATATTGCGGTAAGTGGCGTGTTTTTGGCGGGAATAAAGTCGGGTTCTCCTCCTTGTGCCGTATTCCTCTACCGATTTTTCTGGCGCCAAAATGAATGAAAACGGTTGGCAACATTTTCAACTTAACATTGCAACATTCCAACCGCTGTTAGGCGCCGGCTCTGTTAGACTTCTGGAGCCCCTCTCCGACTTTGTTTTGTTTTGCGCTCTCGACATATGGATGGAATCGAATCTCTTATTCCGGGAGCGGTTCATTGACCCAGCAACAACAATATTCGCCAGATCTTCTCCTGCCAGCGATATGCGGAATTCATCCGCTCAACAGTTAGAACTAACTGGCGTCGGAAAGCGGGCAAAATCGATCGGCGAAATCGAGAGCCGCGTTCAGTTGCCTTCGAGCCGTACTTAGAAGAAGTGCTGGTCCGCCCCAGGAATCAGAGAGATTTTTCCCAACTCGCACCATTCCAATACTCTGACAAAGCCCCTCCGACACTCGCAAACACACAGCTATATACTGATATATACTGATATATACTGCTATATAGATCTACATACACACCTATATTGCGCAGATCACACCTTAAATGCCTTTCGTCGAGCGATTTCAACAAATACGTAATTTTGTTATGAACGTCTGCCTCGTCGAGGCCATCCAATTCGTCCAGGACCTCTCGCACGCCATCTGTCTGGACCTCCAGGGCCTATTCAATCTCAAGTAGAGATCCAGGAGCGATCTCCCAGCGGTAAGTCGCGCCATTTGTTTTTGGCCATCTGGCAGCGGGCAGCAGGCAGCAGGAAGTGAAAGTGAAATTACGGTTTTCGGGATCTCGAGAGAAAGGGGAAAGTACGAACCTCATGGCAGCACTCCATTTTGAGAGGTTATGTGAAGGAACACAAAAGAAAGTTTGGAACTTCCGACAAGGGGGAGCCAATAATAATACTGGTATTCATAAAGCTAATTATGTAATACTTAAAACTAAGTTTATTGGCGTACAGTTTTTCACATAATTTAAACAGTTATTTCCTAAATAGGACGCCCATTAATTAATCTGCACTAAATAAAACAAACTCGAGTGAAAATGGCTGTTTCACAAAAAATTAACTGGTTAAGTTTGCTTAAATGTAAAGGATAATTAAATGTCGAAATGGTTCTGTTTGCTAAAATGCACTAACTAAATTTTAACCGACTTAAAAAAAATAATAATAAGAGTAATAACGAAGAATTTAGCTTTTTTTTTACCTTTTACCGGTCTCTTTTTATTACCTTTATAAAATTTGATATTACATCGTTTCGGACCGCTCATGTTTCATCGCCAGCTCATCCCATCAATCACCCAGATACACTTTACTTCATTAAGTAGCAGCAATCATCTAACACAGCTGACCAAACAACGCACCGACTTCCAGAATCCCTAACTGAGACGGACGTTTTGCTTGGTTTTTAAAACTAAACGACTCTTCGCACCCGCACCTGTTGACCTCTGACGTATACCTCGATCCACTGACCGATCCACTAATCCACTGAACATCATCATCATCATCATCATCGTCATCCAAATTCCACAATGTTGTCCTGTGCCTCTTTCAATAAACTGATGTATCCGTCGGCCGCAGATGTGGCCAAACCGCCAATGGTGGGCCTGGATGTGGAAGCGGGATCCATTGGGTCCCTGTCCAGTCTCCAGGCCCTTCCGTCGACCACATCGGTGGGCAGTGGAGCACCCAGCGAGACTCAGAGCGAGATCTCCTCCGTGGACAGCGATTGGAGTGACATACGCGCCATCGCCATGAAGTTGGGCGTTCAAAACCCAGACGATCTCCACACGGAGCGTTTCAAGGTGGATCGGCAGAAACTGGAGCAGTTAATAAAGGGTATTGCCTTCTTCCATACATAATACTAAACTAATTCCTAACTAAACATTTATTTTATAGCGGAGAGCTCTATTGAGGGAATGAATGGAGCTGAGTATTTCTTCCATGACGTGAGTAAAGATTTTTATAAAGTTTTTTTTGCAATATACAATCAGCTTATGCAGTGCTTCGCAGTTTTTGTTTGTCCCATTTTGGGACACAGAATGCCATGCCTTATAAATATTGAACATAAAATAATATGTTTCCTATTCAATAGTATATCATGTTATTTACTTATTGAGCAAAATTTTTAAGTTAATTGATCCATGTCTTTGTTTGGCAATTCGACTATAAATTTCACTGTATAACGCAAATTCTTTTAAGATAAGATTCTGTTAGGACCGCACCTTCTGACTTGATAGAAAAGAATTCGCCATTTATCCATACATATTATTTTACTAGATCATGAACACGACGGATACTTATGTGAGCTGGCCTTGCAGACTCAAAATTGGTGCCAAGAGCAAGAAGGGTAGGATATTAATATCAGGCCAGCATTTAACAATATTTTTCAACTAATCACCCCAATTTAAAGATCCCCATGTGCGGATTGTGGGCAAGGTGGATCAGGTCCAGCGGGCAAAGGAGCGCATCCTTAGCAGCCTCGACTCAAGGGTGAGTAGCCTGGGCTTGGATTACCTGATTTGTCTTGATTGTTACCCGTTTCTTTCTGTGTGTTTCTGAACAGGGCACTCGAGTGATCATGAAAATGGACGTCAGCTACACGGATCACTCGTACATCATCGGACGAGGTGGCAACAACATCAAGCGCATAATGGACGACACCCATACCCACATCCACTTCCCCGACTCGAACCGCTCCAATCCCACGGAGAAGTCCAACCAGGTGTCGCTGTGCGGCAGCCTGGAGGGCGTGGAGCGCGCCCGGGCTCTCGTCCGGCTCTCCACGCCGCTGCTGATCTCCTTCGAGATGCCCGTGATGGGGCCCAACAAGCCGCAGCCCGACCACGAGACCCCCTACATCAAGATGATCGAGACCAAGTTCAATGTGCAGGTGAGTTCAAGGTATCGGTTTGCACTACCCAAGTGTAAGCTGAAATATTAATATAAAAAATTAATCGTGGAAAGTTAGCAAAGTTACTGACTCTGCTGACTTCATTAATTTAAGTAGTTTAGGTATAAACTCATCATATGAAATGCGGGCTGTGGTCTAGTTTAGCTTAGGTTAAGTTAATGGTATTTATGGTTTCATATTGTTCCATAATAATACTTATCGAATAATGTTTTTTCGTATTTAGCTAGATGGCTTAAAACGCAATGAAAGTCAAAAAGATCCTGAAACGTTGTCTCGTTATATTTGTACCAATGATTTTTGTAAGCGGTTTGATTGTATACTAAAGATCTTTGCTCCTTCCAGGTCATATTCTCCACACGTCCCAAGCTGCACACCTCGCTGGTTCTGGTCAAAGGATCCGAGAAGGAGTCGGGCCAGGTGCGAGATGCCACCCAGCTGCTGATCAACTTTGCTTGCGAGAGCATTGCGGTAGGTTCGAGAAGGATATCCCAAAGTAAAGCTCATCAGCGAAGCCGTTTCCCTTGCAGAGCCAAATCCTGGTGAATGTCCAGATGGAGATCTCGCCGCAGCACCACGAGATCGTCAAGGGCAAGAACAACGTGAACCTGCTCAGCATCATGGAGCGCACCCAGACCAAGATCATATTCCCCGATCTGAGCGACATGAACGTGAAGCCGCTGAAGAAGTCACAGGTCACGATCAGCGGTCGCATCGACGACGTCTACTTGGCGCGACAACAATTGCTTGGCAATTTGCCCGTAGCATTGATTTTTGACTTTCCGGACAACCACAACGATGCCTCCGAGATCATGAGCCTCAACACCAAGTACGGCGTGTACATCACGTTGCGCCAAAAGCAGCGGCAGAGCACCCTGGCCATTGTGGTCAAGGGAGTGGAGAAGTTTATAGGTGAGTCTTCCCTTTAAGATCTAAGATTTTCATTGATTTTGCACTAGCACAAGACTACATTCATTCAAGACTAACAATTCTATATACAAAACTTCAAGCTTAACTAAAAAATGTTAATTCTAGAGATGTAGGATTGTAGTTTACATATTTTATATATATGCAACATATGCTTTTGGTGAATATTTGAATTTGTACCACCTATTTAACAGGTAACTAGATAACTTAACCCTTACATTGCAATTACAATTTTAAAAATTTTCCATTTTCATAAGCCTATTTTACTGCTAAGTATCTGAGTACGAGGATTACTCGTATATCCCTGTTTGAAATCCCTGTATTGATCCGGTACTGCCCTTCCACAGACAAAATCTACGAGGCCCGCCAGGAGATCCTGCGCCTGGCCACGCCCTTCGTGAAGCCCGAGATCCCCGAATACTACTTCATGCCGAAGGACAAGGACCTCAACCTGGCCTACCGCACCCAGTTGACCGCTCTGCTGGCTGGGTACGTGGACAGCCCGAAGACTCCATCGCTGCTGCCGCCCGCCCTGACTGGCCAACTGACGCCCTATGCCAACAACAATCACCTGTTGCTGAATGCCAATGGCCTGGCCACGCCCACTGGTGTCTGTGCGCCCACCCAGAAGTACATGCAGCTGCACAACAGCTTCCAGCAGACTCAGGGTCGCTCCATGGTGGCTGGTGGGCAGAGCAGCAATGGCAACTATCTGCAGGTTCCTGGAGCGGTGGCGCCTCTCAAGCCGCCGACTGTTTCGCCGCGGAACAGCTGCAGTCAGAACACCAGTGGCTACCAGAGCTTCAGCAGCAGCACCACCTCCCTGGAGCAGTCGTATCCGCCGTATGCCCAATTGCCGGGCACCGTGTCATCCACTTCGTCCTCCACCGCGGGAAGCCAAAATCGCGCGCATTACTCGCCAGATTCCACCTACGGCAGTGAGGGCGGTGGCGTTGGCGGCGGAGGAGGCGGTGGCGCGCGTCTGGGACGCCGCCTTAGCGATGGAGTACTTCTGGGGCTGGGCAATTCCAGCGGCGGCGGAGGTAACGCCGGCGGCGGAGCTCACCTCCTGCCCGGCAGTGCCGAGAGCTATCGCAGCTTGCACTATGACCTTGGAGGAAACAAGCACTCCAGCCACCGTGCCTTTGACTTTGACATGAAACGGGCCCTGGGCTACAAGGCCATGGAGCGCACTCCGGTGGCGGGGGAGCTGCGCACACCGACGGCCACTTGGATGGGCATGGGCTTGAGCAGCACATCGCCCGCCCCTGCCCCGCTGGAGAACGGGGAAAATGGGGCTGGTGGTGGAGGAGCATCTGGCGGATGGCGGCTGCCACCAGGATTGGGTTCCCCTTACGGACTGAGTGCCACCACCGGACTGCTGGACGCCACGCCAGTCAACCGAAGGATGCAGCTCGCCAAGCACAAGGACATCCAGACTCTGCTCACCAGCTTGGGTCTGGAGCACTACATCAGTGAGTAGTTCCCGCCGACTATGTCCGTTTTTACCAACTGTGTACTAGAAGCCTTTCATAAAGCTATCTTATGTAACTGGTTTGAACTGGAGAGTGTTTTATTCGACACAAAGTATTATTCTGAAGTGCAGCAGCTGGGAAAACTACATTTTAAATCTCTCCTTTCAGAAATATTCGTGCTGAACGAAATCGACCTGGAGGTGTTCACCACGCTGACCGAGGACAACCTGATGGAGCTGGGTATCGCGGCGTTTGGAGCTCGCAAGAAGCTGCTGACGGCCATTCACACGCTGCTGGCCAACGAGGCGGCATGCAGCACAATGCCCAGCAGCAGCTCCTCGCAGAACTCCTCGTCGCCGCGATTCTCCGGAAGTGCGGCCCCCGGCGCAGAGCGCCGTCCCTCCAACCAGTGGTGATCGGTGATCGGTGGTCGGTGATCCGCTCCTGTCGTTCGTCCCATCATATTGTTTTTCTTTTTTGCATTCCATTTATTTGGTGGTAGTTGTAGGATCAGGAGAAGCGGAACGGAAAAGCATAGGAGGAGGAAGTCAGGAAGAGAATGGCAACCCCCTGGGCGAATAGCTTTCCCGCACAACACAGCCTTGACCTTGACTTATACTCGCATTTGTACTCAAATTCCAAGTAGCATAGGCTGCGCTCGGGAAAGTGCACAGTTTTCCCAGTTTGCCAATTGGTCGTAGTTGCCTCTATTTTAAGCGATTAATTTATTTTGAAATTATTTATATAGAAACTGTCTTAAGCAAAAATATTGTGAATTATTTATGAAATCGAACTAAACGAAATCACTTGTTGTAAGAAATGAATTTATGTAAACCAACTGAAAAAGAAACTAAAAACTTCAAAACGCAAGCACAGCATGTATTAAGTGATAAGCAAACAGTCACGCACAAACATTTGATATGAATAAATTGATGTCTATGAAAAATCAACTGAAAGTTGTCACTTTTTAGTGCACTAATTTGAGTGTTTATGTTTTCAATACGACTCGGTTTCAAAATATACATACAATTGCTGAAATATACTATTGCTTTGTGGGTTATTTGGCATATGTCATACACATTAAGTCGTTAGCAGTCGCTTGAACTCTTTTAGCCTGGCCAGAATAGGGGCTAATGACTTGATTGTCTCCAGTTGTCTGCATAATTTGTATTGCCTCGATTCGTGCCAAGAAGTCTTCCAAAGCAACAAAATCGAATGTGTGTCCTTACACGAACGAAATGGGCGGCACAAAAGGGGCCGTGGCTGATGAACTGGAAATGTTTTGCTCCAGTTGCCGGTGGTTGCTACCGTGTTGCATCAGCATAATTGCAAATTTTTATGATTATGACACTTTGGGCGCAAAGTGCCTTTGCCAATGGCAACTAATTTCTGCAGCCATCTCAGTCGCAGTCTGGTGGTCATCTACATGGGTAAGCTCCACTTAAGTACTTCGAGTAGGCTGTTGCCCGACTTTTGGCAAGCGGTTTGATTTACAATTATGCTGGATTTGAATTTGGATCCGAAGTGGAGTCACTGACCAGCCGGAAAGTCGCCAGTTTGGCCAACATTCGTCAATGTTAGTCCCATTTAAAGTGGCGGATGTGGAGTGGTATGGGAGGACATAGTTAAGGGGTATAAGTATAATGAGTAAAAATGTCTTTGACATCTCAAAATCTGCAAGACTGTATTTTTGTTTTAGTTCTTTCTGGAAAAAAAAAATGATAACTGAAATTAAATAAGCAGCTTATATTAAATGAAGTTCTCTTTTAGCTTAAAATCGAACACTCTGAAAACAGCAATTATTCGATAGCTGAATATTACAAGTAAAAATTTTAGGGTTTATTTATTGTGTAATATTTAAACTTTATTAAATTTTAAATATTGTTTTTATATTTTGCCCACAGTGTGTTGTCTTTTTTGAAGGGGAGTAGTGGTGAGTACGGTCAAGCAGTCAAACACAAAGCAGTCAGGAATCGGGCCAAGCAGTATTGCAGGGGAAATCAAGCAGTGTGAGGAGAACCAAGCAGTGGTGGCTACACAAGCATTTATGGATACGAAACCCACCACACGTGTGTTCTCTCTCTCTCCTCGCTTTTCCATTCGTGATTTTCCGACGACGGACGACGGATTTTCCGAACCGTCTTCGTTGGCCATTCGCCAATTGGGAAATCTGTGCACAGGACTCGCAGTATCGCGAATCCCGCAACTCCTGCTGCAGTTTACATTGCGTTGTCCTTGCGTGAGGACGTGCGTAGATCACCATTTTAATTTCCGCAGTATTACGAGTGTCGGACATAAGAAAAAAGTTGTTTAAAAAAACGAGTTGAACTGCACTGAAACCGCAGGATTGAACCCTATTTTTGCTGTGGATTGCGTGTGTGCGAGCTGCAGTTTTTGTGTTTCTGACATAGCATTTACCAAAACAGAAGGCGGAGAATAGGGAAAAGGATACGACGAAGGATCTGCCATAGTCCCAAACTCTGTGTGTGTGTGTGTGGGTAAGGCTGTTGCTTCCTCGCCCCCAGTGCATGTGTGTGTGTGAGTGCGAGTGTGTTTGTGCAGTCACGTGTTCTAAGGTGATTTTAACGAGTTCCGTGATACGCGAAATGAGATAAGGAACGAAAAAGGAGCAAAATCGGGAGGAGCGCACGGCTTAGGTGGGCACAAAAAGGAGCAACAAGAGGCCACGCAGCCAAAGCCAACAACCAAATCCCCATTCGCCAGGACACACAGGATACCTGCTCGGTGCTCCTTAAAGGATTCTCTGATAAATCAACCGAAAATTGCATAAAACAAAATTGTTTGCCAAATTGTGCGCAGCAAGAGAACCAAAAAGCAAAAGGCAAGGCCGCACACTCACATGTGAAATATGATTAGCCAGTTACATTGAAAGTACAACAAAATAAAAAGGGAGAAAACTTACGCAAATAACCTGAAGGTAGGAATACATTATAATCCCTTTGACATAAGTTAATGCTGGGTTAAGATGTCAGGAAGGATATTGAAATAGGATTAGGAATATTTAGATTCTTATATTAGAAAAACATAAGAAGAACGGTATCTAAATTTAAATTGATTCTGAACATTTGCAATATAATACTAATACTTTAGTAATGGTTCATTAGCGATTTCTTTTGTTGTAAATAGCTGAAACAGTTTACTTTTAAGAATATTATCCTCGACGGAATGCAAGACAAGGTTTTAAAAACGGATCATAAGCCAGTTCAGCGAAAGGATCAACCTTCCACGAACTTTGAGTCATCCTCTGTGCTGCTGTAATTTCATATATCGCAATCTGCGACGTTTAATTTTGATGCACCATGTCCCTGCTCCTGGCAAGGCAATTTGACGATTCCATGGGTATCCTTTCACATCCCAGCCAGCGGAAGATAAGCCGGAAGATGTAGAGAAGGGCGTGCCCGTCTCATCCAGCAGGCAAACAAAACTTGTCAATTGCCAGGGAGCGTGTCTCCGGGACCTCGGGCTCATCCTTTTTGGTAAACATTTCCCATAGTTGCCGGGGAACTAGGCAACAATGTCTTGAGCTCAGCCCTGCTGCTTCGATTTGCCCGTTTTTTGTTGATGGAAAATGTCAACTGCCTGGCAGAGTTTTCATCCTCACTTTCGGGCAACTGACTAGGCAAAAATTGTATTTAGTGGGACAATCAATATCGTATGAGGGAGGGGCAGTCAGTTGGGCGGCAGTCAAACATTTATTTGATTGACTGATTGATATGTGAAATGATTTATTGCTGCCGGAGGACGAGTAGGCGAAGGACGAAGAAAAGTGCTGGCAAGTGCCCACACAAGCAGCTGAGTCGAAACAGTTCCAAAACAAAACGAGCAGTCCCTTAACCAGTCGAGCAGGAGCATTTATTTCTCCGTCTATCTCTGCAGTTTTTGATATCCTGCTCTGTTTTTGCGTTGGATTTCCACAGCTCTGTAAAAGTGGCTTGGTCCAAACTTTTTCGCACGTTTTATGGGAGAATAAAGTAAATAATGAAAGCTATTTAGCACAGCCAAGGGGCACATTAAGTCGTCGCCAGCCTTTTCGGATTATCCTACGACCGGCTTAAAAATAACAATAGGACCCAGCTCCTGCTTGCACACTGTGCAAAACAAACGCTGGCGGGCTTTTAGTTAAAAAATACATGAATCTGTAAAAATAGGTTGTTAAACAACTCTCTTTAAACTCTTTGCTTATTTAATGGGAAGGAATATGCAATTCGCAAAAACTGTACGTCATACTTTTCCAGAAATCTACGAAATTTTTGTCAAAAGTCAATATTATCAAGAGATATAAATTATTTCGCATTCCTTTACTACCCCATTAATACAGTTCTAATTAATTATAAATATAATTCGCATTATTTTACGTGCACAAACTACAAAATTTTGGCAAACCAAGAGATTTTTAAGTCCAGTCAAAAACAAATCCTTTCAAAATGCAGAACGTGTTCAGCGAATTTCCTGGTGCTTGCGTCGGATTTTGAAAATTGCCATTGCTGTTATTTAAATAAAACTGAAAGGATAATATTGGCGTGGAATCCTTGTGACAGCACTTCCTGTTCTGTTTTGGCTGTGTAATATCCGTCGAGAGAGGTAAACTGTGACCAGCGTTTAATGAGCTGTGTCCTGATCTGCGCCTCGAATGGCCGGCGGCTCCTTTCGCCAGTTCGCTGTTGAGCTGGAGAAATTTCAGCCATTTTTTACTGCCACCTGCAACGGTGTCGCATTCTTCTCTCGACCAGGCATTTCTCTTATAGCCTGGCTCTTTTATTATCGTTGTTTTTAAACTATTTGGTTCCGCTGCAAGTGCTGTGGCATATGAAAAAGAACACTGAGGGGAGCCGCTGCGAAATTCGGGCGAAAATGCGAAAGATTCACTTAACTAGGCGTGGGTGTTAATTAGTTTTTGGCAGTGCCCCGCAATTCTGTTTTCCTATTAATTTTCACATATTTGTTTCAGCATATTACGTGCGTGTATACGTAATCAATGGCTTCTGCTGGTCCGAAAGGAATTTCCAAGAAGGAAATATATGGCTTTGTCATCTCACTTGAGCTTTGATCTACAAAAGCTGGTAAAATGACCAAGGATTTCTTCAATTAGTATTGGCATAACTGGGTTAGTCTTGGTTCTCCCGGGCATTTAATATTTATTGGATAATTAAATGTTTATCCCATTATGCCTCGAATTTATTTATTAGCTTTCTGTTAAGAAATACGTTTGAATTAAAATTGAAAAATTAGTTCAACTGCTTATTGTACCATTTGCACATATGCATTTTGATTTATAGACCAAAAGTTTGATAATTATAACAAATGAGCAAATAAAATTGGCAAACATTTTGATTCATTTATTTATGTTGAAAATTAACATATACATGTGTATATATTTTATATATTAGAGACACACATGAACGTTTATTATATGTTCCAATTTCTTGGAATCGAGCATTGATGCGAATTGAGATTTCCGTCAACTTTTCAAAGCAAGCTGCCTTCTCGCAAAAACTTGTTCACAATTCTCAGCTTTAATTCTTATCACATGGATGGAAAGAACTTTACCAATTTTTTACTGTCGGGATGAACAAATTTTTTTCCGCCACATCACAAATCTTGCACCGACTCAAACTTCGCCCCAACAAGTACAAGAACATGGAGGTACAAAAGACCTTGGGGCTATTGAAAAATATCTCATATGCAAGCCCATTGTTGTTATTGGCATAGCCACTAGTTCTCCAATTTCAAGGATCTCAAGTGGCTCCCTTGACTGCGGCAGTGTGTGTGTAATCCAAGGCCCCTTTTCCTACTTTTTGGCGCTAAAGGCGCATCTCAAGTGCAACATTTGCCAGAGGGGTGGAAGTATCTGTACCTAGCATATTTGTTGTTCCTTTGCGGCTGCGAAAATGTTGTGGCATGTGGAAATTTATTTCATAATCTCTGCAACAAAAATCCAAAACTGCACAAAATAAAAAGAAATGGGCAAAACTTTGCATATGAGCGGGCGAATCGGGATAGGGAAACTACGAGTAGCTAAGCATGTAATTTATATCCTTGAATGGTCCCTCCTTTTCCCCCTGCAAACTCACTTCAGTTTTTGGGCTTCTCCTGGGTTTTTTGGGTATCTGCATCATGCAGTTATTGCCGATGCCCAGGAGCGTGGGCAGCAGAATTATGAAGGGGATATCGGGGGTCCCCACCAAAGCGCTTATGTTTTTATATAACGTATGGTCTTATACATGTATGCTTCAGCTAAAATTCTCATAAAAGATACATTTATTCATATCCACGGACTTCAATTCGAAATAGGCCATGAATTATATGAAATATCACAAAATATTGGGCACTCGCATTATTTAGCAACTGCGCCTCTGCTCAAATTGCAAAATATTCCTCTTTCTGTGGCGGAAGTTTTGCGAGTTTTCTGGTATTGGACTGAGCGGTCATAAATTTGTTTCTGCTCCTGTTGTGGTGTCTGGCTTTCCTGCTGCTGCATTGCTTCACTTCGTTGCAATTTTATTTGACCACATAAATTGTTTACCAATTTTCACAAGTCCTGTGCAACTCCGTCGCTTCTGTGTATGTGTGCTTTGCCTTATGCCTTTGAAGGCTTAAAGCGGTTTAATCGCTCCCTTCCTCTCAGCAAACCCATTTTGATTTAGCTCGCATTGCCCAGCAATCTATCTTGGTGGTTTTAAAAATGTATTTACTTGCCATTGTAATCGTAGTTCGTAGTTGTTTGCAATCGAGCAATCTGTGAAAGGCTGCAGACTCAACAGCAGCAGATGTCATGGCGAATTTCGGGGATGAGTGGACATATTTATTGCAATGATTGTTTTGCAAATTGCTCTAAGTGAAGGAAGCAGGATTATTGTGATTGCATGACTCTCTCAGAATTTATGTACTTCACTTTTGAATTGAAAAATCAAAATCTTACGCTCGAAAGTGCATTGTACGCAATGAATGAGAGGTAGTAATTGACTTTTTAGCATTACAACCAAATGGTAATGGTAACCGAATTGTTGCTAAATATGTAAGTATACATATTTGGAAATTAACACTAAAAGAGGAGTATCCTTAACATTTTGCATTTTTCCAAGTCCGGATAATCGTTAAGCTCATTCAGACTCCCGATTACACGCGTTTCCAGTAGAATGGAAAACGGCGGACTTAGAATCTGTTTCCTTCACTTCGTTAGTTAACTTCCTCCAGATGCAATTAACAAACGGTATGGGGTTTAAGGGCAGCTGATTTTTATTAAATCCTTCTTTTCGGTTTTCTTGTCTGCTGAAGTAGGGAAAAACAGAGAAAAGCAAAAGGAAAGGGAGCAGAACGTCTGGAAGTGCAGTTTGCGGCTTATCGCATTGGTAGCAGACTTGGCCCCTTTGTTTGTCGCACTCGGTCGTTTCAGTTTGTCAATGCATAAATTAAAAAGTTGAAAGTTTTTACCCAATTCTCCGCCTTTCTGGGTTAGTTTTGTGCTGACCTTAATGAAGCCAAAGCAATTAAGAAAGGTCCTGCAGAGTTAATGGACTGCACACAGAATGGCCATTTGGCTGAGTCTTTGGGCCATGTGAGCAGCACAAGGAATCCGCATACGAGAACTCCATGGTCTGGCTTCTTTGGCCCGATACTGTAATACAATTTGCTGCCATTAAAGATTACAACTTGTTAAAGTTGCTCCATCGAATCCCTCGACCAGGGGATTATTATAATCCGATTTTCAACTTGAAATGTGCTCTGAAAAAAGAGGCAGGAATTTTTCGAAAAATGCTATGCTCACAGTCTCGAAAGAAGCAGCATTTGATGTGCAGTTAGACAACATTGTGTTTTTCGGACGTACCCCATCCCCGTTAATGGAAAACTTTTCACTTCGACTTTTTGGCTATGTATGTGTGTGGGACGAGGAAAATCGCTGCAGTTTTCTTTATAGTTATTACTTTATACAGTTTCCCCTTGTTCCTTTCCTTCTGATTACGAAATTGCTTTCAATACTTTCGGCCAAAGAAGTGACTATAAGAAACTCACTTTGCAACACCTGCCTCAAGGAAAGCAGTCGGCCCAGTTGGTTGCATTGGCCAACGAGAGTTACGTGTTGCAGGCAAAGTTTAACGCATTAAGAACCAAAGTTGTTGTCTGGCCACATTTCGGCATTTTGCGGTTGGGTCTTAAGGCATCAAATGGCTTACATTTTCACTACCCATTAGTTTTGCATTTTTGAAGAAAAACTACGCTTTTACCCCAGGTTTTTAGGGCCTAGCACAATCGATAATTTAAAAATGTTCCCAACCTTACCAAATTAAATACTCAACGTTCTCATTTCAGCAACCATAGATAAACTAGCAACATGCGGTTTCCACAGAATGCCTATCAAACGGCATTGACCACAATTCTTCTGGCGCTCACATTAGGTAAGTAGATTTCACATTATTTGTAATGGACAAATAGGCAAATTTACCTACGAATGTGTACACACGAAATGAAAATCTGTTACCGGCAATTTGCTCGTTTATGTCAAGCTGAGATTTGAAGCGCAGCGGTAAATTCCTTTTTAATAATTTTAGTCAAACTAAAAAGTTAAAATTTATTTTAAATAATACGGAACACTGCAGTTCTTGTGGTTAAATATGCGATTAAAAATATGTGAAATAATTATATTAAATTGATAGGAAACATTGAAATGCAATTATGACAGAGAATGCTAAAAAATAAAACATTTATGGGCACTAACAATGTTTTCAATTTCACCCTGTGTATCTTGGCTTACAGCCCAAATGTTAATTTGTTGTGATTAAATTTGATGCCATAGAAATGAGGCTGATTCGAACTTATGACACTCCGCGAATACAGAACGCTGTACATTTATTTCACGAAAATCGATATAAATATTTCATTGAAATTCGTTTAATAGCCCTAATTGCGGTTAAGTCGAGTATGAATATGGGATTAGTGGGTATAAAAAGTAAGCCTCTTTGGCGAAGCTTCAATTTAACTAACAAACGGCAACCTAATTTACTGCGATTTAATTTACCCTTTCCGCATTTAAATCACACATGCATACAAAATAACCAAAATAACAACTTTTTTGCCATATGTATCAGTGCAAAAAATGAAGCATAAATTATGCTAATAAATTTCACAAACATACTAAGAACCGATGATTCCTACTCTGGCAGTCAAAGAGATCGGTTGTGTCGCGCGCATGCAAAAGTGATTTATTTTTTGCTTATCGGTGCATTCCCTTTTGTGCTCAAAATAGCACAAATCATTTATTTGGGCGCTGCTTTGAGCGGTGTCGGCAGTTTGACAAAAACAAAAAGTGCATCAGGTGAAGTGCATTCAAACGGTGCTTTCTGCCCTTCGGGCAAGTCATCTACCTCACCCCGCGCAGAACTGCACAAGAGGTAAACAAACTTTGCTTATCAGTAAAACCGAACTGTTTATGCTCTGTTCCGGACATTTGGGCCCGCAAATTATTTGCTGAATATTAAGACAATATAAAAACAATGAATGAAAACAGTTTCGATGACTCTCAGCTTATAAAGAAGCAGATTGATCATGAAAAAATGTTCTCAATAGCTGGAAAATTACCTAGTAAGATTAGAGACGAGTGCCGATCAGAAATTCAACGCATTACATGCAATAAGTCTCAAAGCAGTCCCACCACAACAACAGTGACATTTTCTAGTGCCAGTAGCAGCACCATATACACAATGGCAAATCCCACAATGAGCAGCATCTGTTCTGGTTCAAGTGTAGCAAACCAAGAATGTTCCCAATTGACCAGCCCCGACATTGCAGCAAAAAATCTAAGCGGTGCTGCCAGAAGATTACTGGATGATCAAAATCGGAAAGCAGGCAAGAGAAAAAATGCAAAGCCACTGTCCCCCATCCTTAAACCGAAAAGAGTGAGCAGTACCCAGGGCCCGCACTTGGTCCCCACAATTAACCAGAAGGCAAGCTCTAGTAACAGGTTTGCTATTCTCGACACGGACATCATTACTAATGAAGAAAACGGGGAAGACATGATGTCTGAGGATGCCGATGATGCTAGTGCCCGCATGGACGAATTTCAATCTGCAGAAAACAATACTGCCAATAAATCCCAGGAAACATCTAACGCCAACAATCAACTCAAAGATTTTAAAAAACCACCCCAAATTGTTGTTAATATTAGCAACTTAAATGACCTATTTGAGCTCATACAAGAAAAGGCAAGTCTAGATAACGTCGTAGTCAAAGCTAACCAAGGGGAAACAGTCAGAATATTTCCCAAAGACAGTGACACTTACAGAAAAATTGTTAGCTATATGGATGAAATTGGTATGCAGTTTCACACTTACCAAATGCTGACAGAAAAAGCACACAGAATTGTAGTAAGGGACTTACATCACAGCACACAAAACAAAGATATAACGGCCGATCTGAAATGTTTAGGCTATGAAGTACTTCACATTCACAACCCTAGTTCAAGGGTTAATAAAGATGAAAAACTCAATATTTTTTTCATTAACATTAAGCCCTGCCCTAATATTAATGAAATTTATCACGTGAAGACCCTTTGCCGACAGAAAATACGGATCGAAAGGATGCGAAAGTCTAGTGAAATTGCACAATGTCGACGTTGCCAGGAGTATGGCCATACAGCTAAATACTGCCGCAGACATCCAAATTGTGCCAGGTGTGGTGAAAATCACCAAACCACACAATGTACACGTCCTGTAGATGCTCTGCCCACATGCTATCACTGTTCTCACGATCACATGGCTAGTTATAAAGGTTGCCATAAGTACCAGGAGCTTCTCCGCAGATCTATGGGGCCTGCGAAGAAGGCGAATCACTTAAATAGGCAGAATCATGGGTTCAACCATAGAGATCAGCAACAGTTTCCTTCCGTGCAGATTAATCGCCGTAAGAGTACTAACCAGTCAACTGAAGATCAGCAACCAACACAACAACACCAAAATATGGTACAGCATCAACCATCTATAGGCCCTGGGGTAAATACAAAAGTATCCTATGCCACAGTAGCAAAAGAATACTCTAATACAACTCCCTCCAAGGATGGACCAGCTCAGCGACGTTTATATAACTTACAAACGCAACAGTTATCGCAGCAACAACGACTGAACACTCAGCAAAATAATTCACTTGACGTCCAAGCATTGTTACAACAGCAACAACAACAGTTCCAAGAATGGCAGCAGCAAATGCAACAACAACAACAACATCAGTTTCTTATGTGGTTGCAACAGCAGCAACAAGATCAGCAACATCACAGAAATCAAACCAATCAACGACTTGAAAAGCTCGAAAGAATGGTATTTGAAATAACCACCATGTTAAAGCAAGGAGCTGGGAATGAACATACCTACCAGCTTTCTAACAACGCTCCACACCCACAATGAATCCACTAAAGATTCTTATTTGGAATGCCAACGGCATTTCAAGAAAAGCTAAAGATATTGAGCTTTACGCGCACAATAATAGCGTGGACATTCTTCTTGTGACGGAACTTAGAATTAAAAGAGGGGATACTGTTAAGATATATGGTTATGCTTTCTATCCAGCATTTAGGCCATCGCAAAATAATAATAGCGTTGGTGGAGCAGCCGTGTTCGTTAGGACAACTCTTCGCCATTTCCCGCAAAGGGTCATAGAGACACGCAGCATACAAATGTCTACAGTAAAAGTAGCTACAGGACTGGGTGACGTGCAGTTCGGCGCCATTTACTGTCCTCCCAGTGTTAGTATCGACGAAAGACAATTTACTGACACAATACGCTCTTGCGGCCAACGGTATATGATTGGTGGCGACTGGAACGCCCGACACTGGCTTTGGGGCGACACCTACAATTCACCCCGGGGGCGTGAGCTAGCGGAAGCCATCTCTATCACTGGAGCTAAGATACTTGCAACTGGTTCGCCAACCAGGTATCCTTATGTACCCAGTCATACGCCTTCCTGCATTGACTTCGCGGTGCATCATGGTATACCAGATTCCCTAACAAGTATAACACAAAGTTGGGATCTGGACTCCGATCACTTGCCTTTGATCATCAGTATTGTGACAGATAGTACCCATGTGAATCCAAGTCCACGATTAGTCAACAAGCACACTGACCCGCTCGCTTTTAGTCAACAACTGGAGAGCATGATCCCGTTGAACATCACGCTAAATTCTGGTGAAGAAATTGAAATGGCTGTTGATCACCTTACGCAAAGTATTCACAGGGCTGCGACTGCATCTACGCCTTCTGTTCCTCGGACAGGCACCCCCTATGGAATATCCCTAACAAGAGAGGCTAGAGAGCTCCTGACACAGAAAAGGAGACTCAGAAGGCGAGCAATCCGATCTCAAGATCCCTGGGACCGCATCTTATGGAACCGTGCTGCAAAACAACTACGAAATGTGGTAAGAGACCTTCGAAGTATCTTTTTTGAGCAGAAGCTGGCTTCTATGGACTATACGGTGGATGCTGGGTATTCACTCTGGAAGTCCACCAAATCCCTCAAAAGACAACCGTTCAGACAGGTACCCATTAGATGCCCGGGAGGTGAACTTGCTAAAAACGAGGAGGAACAGGCCAATTCCTTTGCAAATCATTTGGAGACTAGGTTCACCCATTACCAATTCGCTACAATGGAGCAGAATCGAGAGACGCTTGACAGCCTAGAGATACCCCTACAAATGTCGCTACCAATTAAACCAATCAGGGTTGAGGAAATTGCCGAAGTCATTAAATCAATGCCAATAAAGAAGACTCCTGGCATCGACAATGTCTGTAATGCCACGTTAAAAGCGCTACCTCTCCGAGCCATCCTATACATGGCGAAAATATTTAATGCTATATTTAGGGTGCAGTCCTTCCCAAAGCAGTGGAAAATGGCAGCAATTCTCATGATACATAAGCCTGGGAAACCTGAAGAGGATCCGGAATCGTATCGGCCCATAAGTCTGCTGTCTTCGCTATCCAAGATATGGGAAAGGCTGATTGCCAACAGACTAGGTGACTTTATTAAGGAGCGCCGTATCCTCCCAGATCACCAGTTTGGATTTCGACAGGGACACAGCACTGTGGAGCAGGTTCACAGACTGGTTAAGCACATTATTCAGGCGTTTGACGACTTGGAATACTGCAATGCTGTATTTATTGACATGCAGCAAGCATTTGACAGAGTCTGGCATATCGGCCTACTCTGCAAAATAAAAAAGCTGCTTCCAGCACCATACTATGGAGTCCTGAAATCTTACCTGGAAGATAGGAAGTTCATGGTCAGGGTCAGAAGCACCTACTCAACCCCTTGCTACATGAGAGCTGGAGTTCCGCAGGGCAGCGTCCTCGGCCCGCTGCTCTACTCAATATTTACCGCGGATTTGCCTTGCCCAAATATGCACCATATGGAAGCT